ATAATGTCTGATTACATTCTTGCAGTTGCTAGACTTTCCTTACTAGTCTAATCTTCAGTTCTTTAATGCTTAGAACTAGCCATGTGATTATGCTGACAATGAAATGACAAATGACTGGAGAATACATCTGGTGTCAGATGATCCCTAGTCACTTCTGAAGTGAGGCATGCAAAAAACGTTTTTGTACATGGATCTGTAAGTACTCATTGCCAATATTTCCTCTAATAACAGTACATATTGGACACCATTCAAGTAAATTGTCCTTGGAGAGTAATAAAATCCTTTTCAAGGCAATCTGACGTCTGTGACCTAAAAAGTGTGAGGGTGACATGCACAACCATGGAATTTAACACATTGTGTGCAATTTACTCACATGGAATAAAATTAGATATGCCCACCATTCTCTTCATGTTAGAGTCAAGAGAGAGGGAACCATATTCCATCATGCCCAGAAATGTACTGAGGTCAATGGACTGAGGTTTCTCCTTAGAGTTTGAGGTAAAGGAAGAATCCATTGTGTAGAATTTCAGTCAGGAAAGCTTCTGTTTGGGTGGGACAAAGAAGAGGCAACTTTAAAAAAAAAAAGAGTAGAAGACCAGGATAAACGTGTCTTAAGTACCAATGGAACCACAGAAAAGACCATATGACGAGCAAGTAGTCTTGTTCCACGTTTACTAAGATAGCACTGATTGGAATTAGTTATATCTATAAGTTTCTAGGGCATGAGGTTAAGGGAGAAAAGAGGAAGGAAAGGATATTTTGCATACTCTCTTTGTTTGCTACTCTCCACCTTACCTTTCTTTCAATATTCTCTGAATGTGTTCCATTATCTACCTCTATTCTTGGTGAAGAGGTGAAGAGAGAAAAGAAATAATCTAGAGATGTGGACAACATTCTAGAGTAGATTCTTCCCACTATCATGCTTTTCCTCCCACCCACAGGTGAAAGGAAAAGTAAAAGATTCACTGCCAGAAATATAGCCTTCAAAGTCAAAGCTGTAAATAAATATAATTCCCTACACTCACAAAATCTCAGCAAACCCATGTTAACTGTTGACTGACATATTAATCAGAATTAATTAGGACCCTTACACTAGTCAGTAAGGAACAAAACTCTTGCCAAAAAAATTTAGCCTAGCAAACTATGAATTATCAAGCCAAGGACTTGGAGGTGGAGGGGGCAGGGAAGTTTTTTGTAGGGCAAACAATATTGCACACAGTTTAGAAAGTGCCAGCGCCCATTCCCCTCACAGACACCTGGCTAAATAAAAATTTTGTAGCCTCAATCTCTGTGGCAGACAACACAGACAGAATCGTACATCTGCCAGAGGCAGAATCAAGACCCGAAAGCTTTAGCAACATCAGCCAAGGTAAAGAGTCAGGTTGTCAACCTATATAACTTTTGATACGTTAGTATTAAGCATCATTATTTAAAATGCCGATAGTGTTTTCAGTGAGACTACATTATGAAGTACCACACTGTAAGTCTCTAGTTATACCAGAGGTCTAATATTTTTTCCTAAATATATAGTGCTGAATAATACATTTTTTTGATACATAGGAAAACTATATTATTTTTGCTGGTTTCTCCACACAAGTTATAGGAGGAGATCCATCTCAATCACTGTCAGAAATTGTCTTAATTTTAATTCTTGATATAGTAACCCATAGGTTTTATAAATATTATTGTTGATAGCTATCAATTAGCTAATGTTCACTAAAAATTAATGGAGTATTATCTTTTGATGCATCCCGTCCCATCCTAATGATTTTTCTGTTTAACTGATAGTGGATGCACATAGCTGTAGGTAAAAGCATATCAAACTACTATTATTTGAACCTGACAAAGTAATAAATTATGCCTTTGTCTACAGACTAAGTGTTTGTCTTTCAACTTTTTTAATATGCTAACTGCCCCTAATAATGACCCTGACATAAGTGGAAGTGTCAATACAAAAAATAATTTACAAGTAGTTAATTGATTAGTTGGATAAATCAGATGGTTAGTAGGTAGTAGAAAGACCACAAGGAAAGTCATGAATATAGAGGTTTTTCTCCCTTCCCCTTCTGCCTACATTTGTAGCATATTCAGAGCCTGAGATTTAGGAGAGTACTGAGTTCTTTTGAAAAAGGACATACATCCCATTAGAAGCAATTTCTTGGGGCTGCCATTCTTCCTGCTTCAATTTTGTTGCTTTATTTCTTCCTTCAGTTGACTTTTTTGCTTTGTTAATAAATGTCCTATTTTCAAGTCACTTTTGTAGATCTAATCCTACTTTTCTTAATGCACTGGAATTTTGGTTTATACAACTGCCCCCGAAAGGGATTTTAAAATTGAATTTGCTTTGCTTTTAATATGGGTTTAGGTAGTCACTTGCCTAGTTTCCTACAAATACTGGTGCTACTGGCAAGACCTTTATTCATTTCTTTAATAGGTACGCATCCCAAGGAGGGCCTAGTGACAATGCATTTTCTTCTAGAATATTTTCCTCTCTGTCAACTCCCAGTATAGACAAAAGGAAAAGGTTCCCTGCAGTTGCACTTATAATGTGAAAAATGAATTTATACCAATTTAGGCACCCCTATCAAAACTGTGTTCAAGGGAGTTTTTTCTTCACCAAATTGTGAAGATCACAAGTAGGTTAAATGTAATTAGCTTTGTTTTATGTCTGATAATCTGGTGTGGTTTCACAGCCTTGTCTAGAGAAGCAGAAGGCTATCAGACACAGTCTCCTTTAGTCTTTTCCGTCATCAATAAGTTACTTTAAACCAAAATTTGCAAACAAATAACTTAATAACCTTCATGTAAGTGATATTTTATATTTTTATGTGGAAAAGAGAGTCTTTTAAGGGATTCCTGCTACTCAGTTGCTGAATTTGCCTGAAAAAGTCAGGGCAAGTTTTAATGAGTATTCATATATGCTGTGGATTTAGGGATTTTTTTTTGAAAAACATTTCTTTATTATCTCTTCATGGTAACAAGCTTTTTAAAACTGTTTCTGAAGTTTTCTAAAATGTCTGCCACAAAACCACAGCCCTACCATGGTAAACACCACTGCCTGTCAGAGACTACACTAACTATGGACGAGCAATGTCTTAACTTGATACCTGTTTCTGCTTAGTTTATTTGGAACTTTTCCAAACCTGAACACCTTAATTGGTCTCTAATTCAGAGGCAGCCAGCTTTCTCTGTAAAGGTCCAGATAGTAAATATTTAGGATTTGTGGGTCATATATGATCTCTATTGCATCATATTCTTCTTTTTTTTCTTTACAACCCTTTAAAAATGTTTAAAAAGATTATTCTTAGCTCACAGGCAATACAAAAACAGGACACAGTCCTAATGGATCAGGCTCCAATGCACAGTCATTGGACGCAGACATGCAACCCTGGGGTAAGGAGGAAATTATTTTGAGCGCTTGCTACATAGAAACCAGCAACAACTCCCTGGCTAAAGATTAGCAAGTGAAAAATATTAACTCTACCTGTTTGGTCTCTTGCTAATTTACTTATATTTTCCATGATGGCTAGGTCATTGTTTTTTCCTGGTGATACAGAGAAAGAAAGAAAAAAAAAAAACTTAGGAAGAGAAGCAGGAAGGGAGCAAAGAGATATAGGTAAGAAAGGAAGACAGAATAAGAGAGAGAAAGGCAGAAAGAAAGAGTGAGAAAGCAACGTGGGAAGTAAAAGGACAAGAGGGAGATGGGACATAAAAAGAGAAAAGAAAGGTAGAAAGGAGAAAAAGAGAAAAACAGAGAGAGAAAGAGAGAGCGCCAGAATATGGAAGCTAGGGCACAGTCTCTCCTTCTTTTCCTTAGAGCCAAGCAGCTCTTAGAGGCACCTCCCCAGCTGCTTTCAAACATTGAGGTTGCTGCCCAGCCACTGATCACCATCCCAAAAAGTGAAATGTGGGCTTCACATCTGAAAACTTCCACTTGGTTGTTCACCAAGTGAAATGGAACACAAAATTCAAGGCCCAAGCAAATGGCTCATGTTTTCTTTGGGAGACTTGGGCTGTGTCTACCCAGGGAAAATTTTGATGTACTGACTGACTGACTCCAGTGCATATGATTAATGTATATATAGGGCAAACCAGGATAATTCAGGTCTTTTTTCTTCCACAGCAGGTTTTCAGCTGGAATTATCTGGATGGTTGCCTCAACTCTCCACTAGGCTTTGCCAGGATAAGCACAGCCAGTGTAGTATGCAGGAGACAGGGACCACTCCCTCTCTCCAAGGTTCCCTTCAACACCCACACCCTGTGCAGCTGAGCGTAATGGGATCTGTCCTCACAGGCATTCCTTCTGGGGGCAAATGAAAATTCTGTCTAATGAATCTCTAAGAAACCCCCAAAACCCTGAATGTTGCATTCTGTTTAGCTGTCAAATGGCAAAATATAATAGACAGGTGAAGGGGGAGAACCATATTAATGGGAAAAAAAAGAATTGTACCCTGTTCCCTTCCCCATTTAAGAAAAAGGATAGCAAAGCCAAAGCCCACAAGATCCCCATCAAATTAATTAGTACGTATGTGTATAGTTTCTATTACGACCGTGGACACCTGGGTTGTGTTTTTTTTTCAGTTAAGTAGATAGAGATATGTATAGATATACCTTTTGTTTTTAAAAGTACAGTATAGTTAAAACGTAAATTAAACTACATCTCAACACATAGAAATAGTGTTGTTCATAGAGGTATAGTTTATGTGACAGATGTGCTCCTGACAAGGTTTGTACAGATCGATTTTTAAAAATTAAATGAAAAGCTGCAATTAATAAGGAAAGAATACTACTTGGAATAACCCCTTAGTAAATTATTTCGTAAAGAATTCTTCTGTAAAATTAACAATTAACTCATAGTTTACCTGGTAAAGCTGCAATTTTATGGACTCCTGCACTTATACCAGGATTTGGGGTTTCGGTTTTGTTTTGTTTTGTTTGGAGGAAAGGTGAAAAGAATAATGGGAAAGATGCATGATAGTTTATTTTACTGTATCTTACAGATCCAACTTCTAATGATGAAGCTTCCCACATAACTTCTTTCTTTTTGGGAGCAGAAAGAAAGGAAGAAAATGAAGAGTCAGAGCTGTTGATACATTGGGATAATATTTTTCCACTCTATTGAAACTTTCTACCTTTCCTTCCATTCTGTTTCACCAGTTCTCTAAATGATAATTACGGAGTGATAACTTCTCCATTGCTACTTGTGTGGTGTTTTTGTTTTTATTTCTTTTTTTTAGCAGATTTCAATGCTGATTTTTTTCCCTGAATACGTAATCTCTAAAATAAAATGCTTAAAATTCTTAAGTTTTCCTTCCCACTTAGAAGTTGCCTTATCCCCTCTGATATAGTCATTGTAACTACTGCATGAGAAAGTCCTGAAATGTATTAAAACTAAAACAGTAGTAGCAACGAATTGTTAAATGAGCAATTTTATGTGTATCTCTTAAAAAGTTTTTTGTTTATCTGTAGATTGTGTAGAAACTTTGCTCATTTTCACTTGTGAAAGTGTTCTTGCTGCCAAGTGGTGGAAATTAAACCCTGGAAAAGAGAGATCATCTGTAAAATATGCATCTGTAAAATAAGTTTCTCTTTTCAAATGGCTTGTACTGGGCTGTTTGGCGGCCCTACGCTATGTACTGGACGTGACTCCTTGAAAGCAGTCTGTAACCTTGAGCAGATTTGTAGTGACAAATGTTGCTATGCTTCTGTAAGCACTGCTTCTGCTAGAGGGCACTGTATATTAGACAAGGCCTTGTGCTCTGCTTAGTAAAGACAGCTCTCTGTTGCAGCACCTGTGTCCAAGTCTCCATTTGTTAACACATGTGTGTGTTTCCCTTTTTGGCTGATACGACTTTGGGAAGCATGATTGCAAAAGAATTATTCCATAAGATAAATAAATCTAGAGTTAATTCAGTGTTTTTCTACCATGAAAAGGCCATAACATATTCACCTCACTCTCAGAATTGCTCCACAAAGTAGGGCAAAGACTTACTTCTCAGTTGACAAACTCCTCCTCCTTTACTGTTCATTGCACACCATCCCCCACCTCCAATTCCACCCCTCACGCTTCCACTGAACAAAGAGCAGCTGGTTCAAATTAAAGTCATGGGCACGCACACACCACTTCCCTATCTCCAGGTTTGAAGGGCAAAATGGAGAACTGAAGGTTGCAAATAACAGACAGTATTCTGAGAAACAAGCTGTGATTCTAGAAGAGATTTTCCACCATCTCTATCACAATTATCTTTGAGGTAGTTCATATACATAGACCCCCCTACTTATTTAATAGGTGAAAACTAGGGGGAAAAGCAAATCAAAACCATGAGTATGGTGATCCTTCATTCATTAAAAGGCTTCATTTCTCTTTTCATCAACCTGTTGATTGCTCGTACAGTTAGAGGACTAGCCTGGACGCCTGCCTTAATTAAATGATTAAGTAAATAAAAATAACTGGAATACCCTTAAGCTCTGAAGAAGTCAGAGTTTATATTAACCAGCAGAACACTGTAAGGAATGATGAGGGAAAAGAAAATGAGTATTATAAGCAATTTTTTTTAAATTTTTATTTTTAAGGAAATGGGATTTCTGAATGTGCTATACAAGAAAAGAAAACGTGATGTACATTAGTGAAAGACTGGATCTTTTCTATACTAGAGTGCAAACCTAATGCTTTAAAGACCAGAAATGTCTTTGTTTTACTCTTTCTCTCTTTCTGTGATTTGTAGCATACATTGAAGATCTCACAAGATGTGTTGAGCAAAGCAGAAGACTTATTATCGTGCTAACTCCAGACTATGTTCTCAGACGAGGATGGAGTATTTTCGAATTGGAAAGCAGACTACATAACATGCTAGTCAGTGGAGAAATCAAAGTGATTTTGATTGAGTGTACAGAATTAAAAGGGAAGGTGAATTGCCAGGAAGTGGAATCATTAAAGCGCAGCATCAAACTTCTATCCCTGATCAAGTGGAAGGGACCCAAAAGCAGCAAATTAAATTCTAAGTTTTGGAAGCACTTAGTATATGAAATGCCCATCAAGAAAAATGAAATGCTTTCTCAGTGCCATGTTCTGGACTCTGCAGAACAAGGACTTTTTGGAGAACTGCAGCCTATACCCTCTATTGCCATGACCAGTACCTCGGCCTCTCTGGTGTCATCTCAAGCTGATCTCCCTGATTTCCAGCATTCAGATTCGATGCAAATGAGGCACTGTTGCAGAGGTTATAAACACGAGATGCCAACCACCACCTTGCCAGTACCTTCCTTAGGCAACCACCACACTTATGGTAACCTGCCTCTAACGCTACTCAATGGACAGCTACACCTTAATAATGCCCTGAAAGATACCCAGGAATTTCATAGGAACAGTTCCCTGCTACCTTTATCATCCAAAGAGCTCAGCTTCACCAGTGATATTTGGTAGTGAAAAATCTAAAGTCCTCTGAACAGCTATGTGAGCATACGGAATTTCTGCTATACCAAGCATAAAGTACACCTAATAACATTGAGGTGCTGAAAAAGTGTTTCAAGAAAAAGGCACAGAAATTGCTTTTGTACTTAAAATTTTTTGTTTACATTTCCAGACTAATGGGGGGAAAGAAGACCTGTTTTTGTAGTATAGTACCTTGTTCCAATGTACAGTTTTGATTTCTTCCTGAAAAGAAAAAAATTAAAATCCTATTGTTTTAGAGTAGGTTTTATGATACCACTTGGACTGCAAGCTTAGTAAGTAAGCTATCTTCCTGATATTTATGAATATTTTAGTATTTATATGGTATTTGAAATAAGGAAAACTTAAAGACTTTAACTGAATTTGAAAATTTTGAAGTAAGTGTAAAGGGAAAAGAGAACTTCTATAGAATAATTGAAAATCAGGAATTATCAAGAAAAAAGTGTTGAGGTACCCCATTTGAAGACTGTAAAGGAAGATCAGTTAAGAAAAAATGTGATTTAAATGTTTAGAACTTCTTCAACATAACGGACAACTTCTGTAGACTAAATCAACAGCTCATAATGACAGCTTTTAGTTTTATTAGGCAAGCACATCTGTAGGCAAACTGGTAGGTAGGTAAACAATGTGCATTTCTTAAGCAAATGAATAGACAGGCTGTTAGTTCTTTTAGAATGGTTTTGAACAATTCTTACAGCTTTCTAGCCTATTTCAAAAGTTTTACAAATTTGAAAACACATTTTAAGGTGTGCATTATATTGTTTGCTAACAAATTCACGTTTGGATTTTTTTCCAAATGATCTCTTGACCTGCTGTAAGCTTTATACGAAGATGTGAGCATCTTTCTACTTTTTTTCAGCATCATTGGAGTTTGAATTTAAATCAATATTGACTGCAAGTGTCAGCAGTAGAAAAGAAGTAAAACAACAATATTCACAGATGAAGTGCTGAATGATTCAAGTTTACTAGTGGTAGAGCAGCAATTGCAGTGATTCTCATTTGAAATATAACTGTGAAGCGGACTATTCTGTACATACACAATATCTGCTTGGCCATGTGTGCAGGGCTCCTGCAGAAGTATCTCTGTTCCTGGTGCTTCAAAGAGTCTATTTTAGAGACTAAACTTCAACACCCTCATATTGTGACTGTGACTATACCATACCAGAAAATCTCTGTGCATAATCTAAAATATTATAAATTTGCTGTAAGGAATGTGCCCCTATTCTAGTATTTATTATGGGTTACGACTCCATGTTCTTTCCAATTAATCAGTTTTGGTGTGCTGTCCACCGAGATGCCTGTGAGGGTCAACTGTTAATCAGGGTTGATTCTGGCATTTTGCAAATGGTTCTAAAATCATGTTTTTGGGCAAATATAAACAAGGACAAATGTACACAGTGTTTACAAATTAAGAATTTGTCCAGCCCTTGTGAAACTGTGAAACTCAAATGTGTTTTGATTATTTTTTTAACCTCATTACATTATCGATTCCCTGTGATCCATGGGTTTTGTTCAAAGTACTTGTTTCTCTGTTGCTTTTCTATATCCAGCTGCTCAGAAAATGCATTATGCACCAACAGTATGTGAAAGCTTAGCAGTGATACATGTTCATTTCACAGTGGGGACAATTAGTTGCTCCTTTGAAAAGTCCTATTTAACATATATAGGAGTTTCATAGATGTATTTTTCCCACTGATAAAGGTGATTTTGCGTCTGTAAAAACTATAGGTATTTCAAAATGGAAATTTATCAATTCCGAACTGTTTTCCAAGTGTTATAAAGTTGTATTTATTCTCATTGTTCTTTAATGATATGTGTAATTAATAAGTTAATAATCTGCATGAAATGAGTAGTATATGTTTAAGTGACCAATTGTACTTTTCATTATTTTGTTTTTCACAGAAGTCTAGATTAATTCAAATTGAATGTTCAGTGGTATTTTTAAACTAATAGTTCTGTATTGAGCATGCCAGTTCTGAAAATATAACATGGGTCTCTCTGCTTCCTTTATTTACAATGATTAAACGTGGGTAGCAATTTGAGTTGGCTGGCCACAATGTGTCCTTTCACTACTAGGAGGTGCTCAGAAACAGAGCATTCACACTTGTGCTGGGGAACTTGACAAGAAACCTTTTCTACCATTTTCAGGAACCAATGTGTATACTATCTATAAAAATTTATTTCTAGATGGCAATTCAAAATTTGATTTTTATCTGAGGTTTTTAAGAGATATAGCCCATAAAGTTATAATAAGTATTTAGTCTAGAACATGATGTATTCTTCCAGTTGCTTTCACAGTGGGAAAAAATTTTCTTCTCAATTTTTCACTGAAATGGATTCTGGAAATTTAGAAAAACACTAGTGTGACTAGTTCCCATACATTCATAGAAAATTTATTTAGCTCAGCCATCAACAGTATACATACTTTTAAAAACTAAGGCTATTTTAAGGTGAAAAAGTCTGAAAATGTCAGAAATTATTAGACAAATAAAAGCAACAGATATATAGGAAATGAAAACTGCATTAAGAATAAACAATGTTCAGGGAGATGGACAACCTGTACATGGTTTTAATTTGGTAAAATATGAAATCTAGGAGGTTTGGTAGTCTGTGGGCTCCAATCTAACTATGGAGACTCCGAAAAGTAGCTGGACGGTTCCTGGAAAGAAGTTAAAAAGTATCTCTCCTCACCCCCTCTAAGCCTTAATTGAATTAGATCCAAATCTATTCTGCTTTCAGTCACT